CCAACAACTGAGTGGTAAATTGAAATTCATGAAATGGATCAGAATACATAGATTGTATGTCAGATGAGACAGTTGAAATGCTCTGATGAATCACTTCTGCAGCAGCAAGCCTGATTAATTGTTGTTTACAACATAGATACTGTTGTATTGCCTTCTGAGTTGCATTGTCACTGTTGCTTGCCATGATCCTTGATTTTTGATGATATTTGCAGGTTCCAAGCCGGCCAGCGCTGGATCAAGTCAGCATAAATCACAACTTGTTCCAGTGTATACAGTACAGATTTAACTTGATTAGGTTTAAATTCATCATTTTTTCAATTAATTACACTGTTGAACTCTATAAAGTGGATTTTGAAGCCAGCTTGGCACTCTTGATGAGTTATACAGGGTTATACACAAAATCTACTGAACAGCAGGCCTTTTTCGGCCAGATTAGCGCGTACAGAGCTGTATAAGTCTGTATAGCTGGCACTGTACGGACTTATACGGCCCTGGACGGGGTCACCGAACAGGCCCTTATATTAATTAAAGCTAGATCAAATAGATTACATAAATTACACTAAAACACATCAATACAGTTGATGCCTCATATTATCCAGTAGTTTCCATGTATTTAATACACTAATGTACACACTAAAAAATACGCTAATTGTGTCCTAGCGGCCAGACGAGGGGATAGGCCATCCATAAGCCCCTTCAATCTGGGCTACGGCGTTAACGTTCCCCTGAACTCGCCGAGACATCTGGTACGCTGGTATAAGGTTTGGTATTATATATGCATAAAATTACGAACCCCTTGCCCCATCCAAAATCGAAACTTCGAAGACTTCTTTGCAGAAAATAGCCTGCACCCCCCCCCCCCCTTGGGAAATTTAGCTTAGGGTCTTTTTTTATTTTATGTCTTGAGTTCTCTCTTCCTTCATATATATGCATGAATGAAAGTACCATATCCTCAACTTTGGATGCAATTCGCCGTGCTTGGACGTGTATTTCAACAGTTTCAAAACCGAAGGGCTCTGTTCAGGGGGTGATCTGCTCTGGGATCATCGCGGGAAAATGTGCTGTCAAGGGACAAAATGAAGGTAAACAATGGGAAGAATTGACGGCAGTTCAATTTCAATTTGTTCTTGTTCACTCAGAACAGGAGAAGAGTGACGCTGATCGCTGGTCCTGCCGCGCCACGTTGCTTGTTCGGACGTTCAATAATATTCAAATCCTCGTGTTTTTCAAACGCTCGCTTTCCAGCTGCCTGCATTTTTATTGATTATTTTATTTTTTGGCTTGGGAGGCCAATCAAACGGCCCTGCAGGAGCTGAGAGCTTGGAAGCGCTCCACTCAAAGAGGAAGGTCGAAACGCGCTTCGTTGACTGGTTGATAAATGGCTTGGAGTATTTCTTCTCTGACCTCCCTCTTGTCCTTTTCCTCTCAGTTCTCCATCTTCATGCAGATCGACTATTCTTCATGGACATCCACACTTCACTTTGTGACTTTGTGGAGAATGAGATCAGCGCACATACCACCAACGCCTCCATCACCTCCCAGAGTACCAGACTTCCTGAAGCAGCAGAGTAACCAAAAAAAGGTCAGTTAAAAGCTGCTCGAAAAGGCTATGGGGCTGCGCGTTCATGGCAACCTGCCAAACAGCAGATTCAAACCCTGCTTACTTGAAATCAAGCCCCCCGGAAGATTGGAGAAAAATGACACACGTCGTTTACGCAAGGGAAAAATAGATTGTGATATCCCGAAAATAATTAAGAGCAAGCCGCAATTAATGTCTTCCTAATCGACTCGTCGTTGGCCAGGATGAACCCAAAAAGTCAGGAAAAATAAAATAAAATAAAAATGGCAGAAGGGGAAAAGAAAAGGGATTTCCATTTCTGACAGGTTTGGGGGATTTCTATTGGCGTAATCAGATGGTTTCCTGTCCATAGCAGGAAAACAATTGACTGGATGTTTGGCTTTTCCACATGCCTTTCACTCGCTGTATGTTCAGCCTCAGAAAGGATCTTGTGGCTGAAAATAACTTCTGGTGGATAGCGCCCCAAGCACGGCGGGCACCATACCTGACAAGCAGCAACCAAAGCAACCATAGCAGAAGGAAAACGTGACAACGGTTGCATTTTCCCCACTTGGGCTCGTTCACATCCCCTTCGAGGCTGTTGGGCGCCATCCTTGGGCCTTGGCTGTACGGGCCCTATGAAAAGAATGGACCAGGGAACTTTGCCGTGTCGTCCTGATTGGAGCGCTAAGTTGTTGAATTATCTAAGACGCTAGAAGCTTATGGATGAAATTGGCGTTTCTGGCTTACACATGGGGCAAAATACGCGGGCGTATTTTTCGTAATTTCCCATACGCGTACGATGGTTCTCCGCCCTTTTTTCTTTCTTTTTTTCTTGGCTTGCCTTTTGTGTTTTGCCGAATATCGCTTGCGGCGGTCAAATGCCTCCACTCGGTACTATCTCAGAGTTGCCAAAGAGGCGCCGCATCCCACCCCATACGATTTGGGAAATTGAAGGACCGAAGTGCCAGCGTTGAAGTTCGGGCATCGGTGCATCGGTGGTAGAAGAACTCCAGCGCCATCGTATACCTTGTGCCCAGAGAAAAGAATCAAGCCTCGGTTCTGGAAAGACCTAGGCAACGACAAGGGAATCGGGCATAAAGAACAAACTTCTCCCTTGATCTTCGAGAAGGTGCATCCCAACCTCTCCGATAAACTTCGCGACGGATATATCAGTTGGGGCGAATGGGCGAATCCATCTTCTCGGGATCTCGGGGAATGCTCACGACTAGGAATAAGCGTTGCTTTTTTCCCCTCCAAGTCTCCTGTACGGAGTACGGAGTATCCAGCATCAGCAATCTCCACTCCCCTCTCGTTCTCAAATGATCATCCATCACCAGGAGCGATCCAGGCTGCTCGTATTTTTGAGAAGAGGAGCTGGTGTACTCCACACCTTCAAAGGTGTCCACGTCCAATCTCTGCCAAAGATGGGCCCTTGAGCTCTCGGTTTGGGAATCCGTGAAGGCCCCTGCCAAGCTATCCCTTGGAAATGTGAGAACTGGAGGAAGGAAATAATCATCCAAAACCCCTCACAGCACCACAATCAAGAGCTGACATTTCAACAGCCCTTTGGTGGTCCTGGGCGGCGGTGTAGCAAACCCGTGTCTCGGACTTCGTTGCTCCGTCCCCCCCGCATTGCTCGCACCTGATCAACCACAGGTGCTTGTTATGATTTGCCCAAAAAATGAGCCCGGGGGAGGCCGCTTCACGTGACCGACCAGTATCGAGCGGAATTCTCAAGCCCTCCTGGTCGTTGGCGGAAGATGAGGCAACCCTGCTCGTGAGGGCCCCGTTTCATCTGCACATTTTTCCTCCCTCTGGGTAAACGGCAGTGATTCCCCGGAGCTGCGGATGCGTTCTTGAGATAAAACTGAGAAGTGAACACTGACCCATCCGCTCAACCAAAATGGGATGTTCGATCGTTATTATTAATTATTAATTATTATTATTATTGTTATTATTATTTTTCGCAGGGCGGTGCTCGATTTCCATATGCACTCCCTCACTTCTGGCTCCTGGGCTTTATTCTTGCAAATTCTCTCATTCTGAGGACCCATTGCCTTCCATGGGAAAGTGATGGACGTACCAACCAAATTCATGCTTCCCTGTGTCGAGGCGAACCCCGTTTCAGTGCTGCCTCCTGCCAAGCAACACCCTCACATCCCCTGCTTTGCATGGGGCGATGGTGTGTTTTCCTTGCAGCTCGCCCCTAGTGTCATGCACGTTGACCTTTAGGTTCAGCTACACGAATACAAGATGTTCCGTCATACTTTACCGTATTCGGCTACATCTCACTCGAAAGAGGGCCCCAGCAGCAACTCCCCCGTAATTTTCGTTATTGCGGAAAGGAAAAAGGAAAACCACTCCCGCGCGCCGTGGTAACCAACTCCCGGAATCTGCGATATTTGCGCTTCGCAAGACAGGGTTGTAGGGAAGGGAAAAGCTGACGCGAAAAGCAAATACAGGGGCTAGTTCTCGCTCTTCCTGGGGGTGAAGGAGAAGCAGGGAGACCGCTCTGCATTGTTGTTAATTGATTATTTCCAACCACCCCCCAATCACAGTGGATCTCAATAATCAAGGAAATAATTCGTGAACTTATTAATTTACCATGATGCTGACAACCCTCTTTTCATTAACTATTCTTGATAATCTGCATACGCCGTAATGGTAAGATCGGCTCCTCAAACGGATCAACATGATGATTTCAAGTGAAATGATGCGCGAGCGGTGTACATCATTGTTGACGACTATGCACATTTTTATTTCTTCTCACACGAGCCTGGTCAAGAGGTCGCCGAACTTCAACACATCAGCAGGGCCTCGTGAGTAATTGACAACTGATCTTGGTCAGACAATCATCAAAGCCAAAGATCGTACGGAGTAGGTTTTAGCAAAGAAATGTAAAAAGGGTACTAGAGTTTGGTCCAAAGGGCCCTAGAATATTCTATCTTCGATCGATTGATCTCCCAGACCAACGCCGCTGCTTCTACTCCGTACCAAACCATCATCCCCGCCAGCGTGTTGTAGCAACGACCATGCTAACTTCTAAGCCCAGGGGCGGAAGAGAAAAAAAAAAAAAAAAAAAAGGGGGGGGGGGGGGGGGGGGGGGC